CGCTCGGGCCTTCTTCAGGTAATATACGTTGGAATTTCGAACCGAACCCTTTATTTAGTTCACGGGAGTAGATTGTTCTAATTCCATATGCTATGCCCTCTTTTTTACTGAGTGGGGGGGGGATATCTTCGTTTCAGAAGGCCTGAGCGTACAGACGCCGAAATGTGAAATATCGCAGTAAAGATGAGGACAACAGGCCGAATGATGTAGTGTAGTTACAATACTCATCTCAGAAATATAAACGGATATCTGTCTGTTCTGACTGTCTGTCAAAAAACGAAAAAAAAAACAGCTGAATAATTCTAAATGAAATGTGTGGGCTTAAACTTTCTGTTATAAATTTGAAGCGTTTGTTTAAATTTCTCTGCTTTTTTTCTCTTTTATGAAACTGGATGACATAAAAATTTGTAGAAACACATGCTTATACTTGATAATTTTCCGTTGACTACTCTTTTGCGCAATGTAAGAAAACATTAATTTAAAAAAAATTAGATTAATCTTCAGCTCACTCTGGAATATAGTGCCATAAAAAAAACCTTCCATCTGTTGTTAATGAAATCGCATTTTTGTTTTCATTTAAAATTCTACACACAAATCATTGTCTCGTATTATGTAAGAAGACTGGTTAAATTTAAATATCTAGATTAAAAGACAAAAGAATAGTTTAATTTCTAGTTGGAATCTTTATCTATCTTGTCCTTAAAGAAAGGAAAGAACACTATTTCGGCTTTTGTAACCCCCGAACTATTTTCTAACAGTTACGCTTCTATGAATGACACGCTTACCGTGTCTCTATGTAACCCGCGAAATAAATAATTAAGCTTAAAATTAAAAAGGTCTTTACTTTGGTTATTTCGGATTTTACAAGCATAACGAATCCCACAGAGTCTTGAGCTGTCTCATCCCGATGAGAGTATGAACAGTAAAACGAACCAAATACTTGTTTTTCAAGATTAATTAATCTGCAAGAGAGAAAAAAAACGCCTCAGTCTTTCTTTACTCTTGGTCTTCTTAAATAATAATAAAAATCTTACGGAAGGACAGTCTAGTTTGCTTTCAAATAATTTTTAAAAATCATTTTTCACTATATAATAAAAAAAAATGTTTGAACGTTTCATGTCTCATAGATGTTTATGCGTCAGGAAATGCTTACCTATGCATTTAAAAACGTTTATAGTCCATATGGCAATTTGAATTCAAATATTGAATACAAACTAGCTCATCGTCATCTGGGGAGGGAGTTGTTAAAATTGGTTTTAGCTAAGTATGTCCACTATTTCGGCATAAATTTTCTATATCGAAGTTTAAAATGAATTTTTTACAACGAAAAAACATTCTTGAAGATTTCATTTTAGCTTTAATCGAAAGTTTAATAATTAAATGTACGATTTCTATTAATTAAACAATTCTGGTGTATTTCAGATAGAAACTATATACATTTGATTGTCAAATTTAATTTCAAATTTTTAAATTTTCTTAAAACGGCCATTTTCTTAATTTTAAGAAATTTGTAAACAAACACAAATTTATCGATTTTTAAAATATTTAAAAAAATTCTGACACGTTATTTTAGTAAAATTAAAAAATTTAAAGTTAAAGTAATCTGATTTCAAAAGAAATCTTTGTTACTTATAGCATAAAAAAAATAATATACAACCAATTATTAACGAGCGGTCCTTTCAGTTGTTCATCTTTTTTACTGATTAATGATTGATTGACGAGCCGATGACAGCTACTACTGATGACCATAAATGACATAATTTTTAAGTCTGAGTTTTTTAAAAAATTATTCTATTTGAGTATGACACACTAAATGGAAATACAATACATAAAATAAAATTATTTAGTGAAATAGTAAATGAAAAAAAAGAAAAAATAATTTAAAATTTAAAGTTTACACTTTTACAGCTGATCGGAAAATACAATCTGTTAATAAACGAAATGTTTTGAAAGGACAAAACCCTTAGATCACGTGACCTTTTATAATAATGGCAATTTTTTATATCATACATGGAAATAAGGAATGTAAAAAAAAAATACAACATAAAAAATTATTTTTAAAAAAGAATAGCAACTAAATTTATTAAACTTAGCAATTTTGGATTCGTAAATTTTTTTTTTCTACTTAATTAGTACATAATATCGAGGAACCCTCCTAATACAGAGCTTTTACACGATTTAAAACTATTATAAATTATTATAATTAAAATTTCTTAAAAAAAGGAAAAAATTCTTGTAAAATTAATTATTCATCAGAAAAAATTATTTCTTCAGACAATAATGTCCTTAATATTACTTATTTACAAAAAGCAATTAAAAGCTTTTCTAATTAAATAATATCATAGTTTTATTGGATTCATTATTTTTCAATTCAGAGCAGATTTTCAGTTAAATAGCTCAAATTTGAAAAAAAAGTAGATTATTTACCATCTTCGAAGACTCCTACTTTTAACAAAAAAAAAAATTCAGGAACCAAAAAGGTTTTTTAAAATTTCATTAAATTAAGTAAATGTGGGGTAACATATTTTAAAAAAAAATAATTTTTTACCAAAATTTTCTAAAAAAAAAATATTTCAAAAATAATTTCATTCATTTGTGAATAAGTCCTGAAAATTTCATTAAGATTGGACAATTATTTTATTTTTACAAGAATTTCCAAATCAATATGTTTTCAACGGTAAAAAAACGCAAAAAAAAACTATGTTATTTTAAACGTCGCCGCGATGACGTAAACAAAGACGATTTTAACCAAAATTTCGAACGTGTTAGAAAATATTAAAAAATTTCAAAAAATAATTAAAAAATACTTTTTTCTTTCATCTAAATAATAACATAAGCATTTTGACGATAATACTTTATTTTCTTTAAGTTTGTGGCATTTTTCATTTACGCTATGCTGTTTTTCCGCGAAAACAGTGGACATGCTTAGTTTTAGCCCTTTCCTTCATATTTCTTTTCTAACTAGCTTCATCAACCCAGTATATTTGAAATAAAACATAAACCTCTTGTTTTATTTTTTTTTTAACCATTTACGTAAGAGAGAAATAAAGTGTGTAATGTATTGATCCCGTGAATAGAATACATCTTGCTTTCTAAAAGTAAATTGTCGCTTTTTTATTATTTTTATTTAAGAAAAAAAAATCCAGTTTGTTTGTAAAGAACAAATTCAACGGTTGCTGAATACAACTCGGTCGTTCATCTTATTTTTTCCTTCCTCCAGTGCCAATAGCCTCGTGAAAAAGAAAAAAAATGATTTCAAGTTTTTCTTTCTTTCTTTTTTCATTCATTGAAATTTTAGATATTTTAAAATTTTTAATTTTTAAGCGATTACATATTATTAAATGAGTTTTTAAAATAATCGTAAAATGTTTATTGTTGTCCGATGTAAAAGGGTGTGCCAAAAATTTGCTACAGCTGCTATAATTTCATACGTCATAACTATTCGACTATGTTACCAGTAAGTGTGGGCAGAACTATTCGTAGCAAGATAGGCCCATTTTTTTATCTTAAGTATCTAGTAATCGCCGACTTTCCCACAGCTATACACGTGCGTATAATGCTGCGTACACATGTATATGCCTTTGGGTACTTGTGTGTACGTGCGTCAGTTAGTCTGCATAATTCATGTGTTCAGTTAAAATCACTCATGCCATGAATGCGTCTGTGAAGGTGTGAAAAAAAAAAGATCACAAACAAATACGTGAAGATGTGTACAACGTTAAAAGGTACGTTAATGCGTACGTATATAGATGGACAAGCGAGTGATTGTGGGTGGGGGCAAATGTAATTTCCCTTTCCTCATGTGTTCAAAACCTGCGTGCTGAAAATAATCATGCGGGGTACGTCAGGGTGCATAGATTACATGCCCCAACGTAATCTAGTCTTTTGCATGTATGCGTACGTATATGTAGATATCCTGCGTTTTTTTTCTTTTAAATGTTACGTAGTATGCCCAATGTATTTAACTGTGTGTGTGTGTGTGTGTGTGTGAGTGAATCGTTTACAGTTTTAAGGGTAAAAGAATTGCTCGCGAAAAAGACTAAATTCGTAATTGCGTGTGATAGAAAGAGAGGGAAGATCTTTTCCTTCCTCTGCTTTGAAATCAAGCTTACTGTGCTGATATGTTTGGAGGTGTTAAAGACAACACGTACAATATGTCAGAAGTGTGTACTGTGCACATCATCGATCATGGCTACACGTTTCGGTTTACTTGTATATAAGTGCGTACACGTTGGCTGGATTTTTCATTATCGTGCTGCCGTAAAAATATAAGTGTTAAGAATTTTATTTTATTTTTTAAAGTCCTACATAAGATCGCCCGTGCACACGCACACGCACATACATACGTCTGTGGGATGTGTCTGTGCGATGTGTCTATGCGCGCATGTTTCCTTAAAATGACTGACAAGACTTGAGTTTTTTGTGTACTTAAAAAGTTAAATAAAAACTCACAAGATATTCCTTGTCTCTCATTTTTAACTAAACATGTATAAAATAAGGATTGCTGTCCAAATATAAATATTCGTGCGTGCGTGTGTGTGTGTGTGTGTGTGTGTGTTAAATATTTAGACAATAAAATCGTTCTAATCGCTATGGTGTAAGTGTGTGTCCGTGTAATTAGTGGCAACCACAGAACTCATTTGCGTGCATAGACGTGTATTATTTAGATTTTATTTTTAAGGATTGCTCTCTCTCTCTCTTATATATATATATATATATATATATATATTAAAAAAGCATATTCAAAAATTGAGTTGGTGATTTTAAATGTACAAGTTTAACTGCAGTTATGAGTACACATTAAAAACCAACCCCACGCATACACGCGTGTGTGTACGCGCATGCGTGTGCAAAATCTTTTCCGCCCTTCAAATCATGCATGCTGTGAATAAAGGCGTGCAAAATACTCGAAAAATTCGTAGATATGTCTTTATATGTGTGTACGTGTGCGTGTGTTAAATCTTCTCCACCCATGTGTTAAAATCATGCACGCTGTGAATATGATTGGGTGGGGGCAGGAGAAACCTCACCACCACCCCGATCCCTCTTTACGTACGCCTGAGCGTGTAAAATATACGTCAAGAAAGAACGTACGCGCGTCTAACATATTATTTCTCTTTATGTATGTAGGTGCGTGTGTGCTCAGCCACGGCCCTCCCTTCCCGGCCCAGTCGCTTCCTTCCCCTCATACCCTGTTCCGCGGGGATGTGTGTGCGTTGCCGGCAGTGAGCCATAGAGCATCAGCACACTTCGCTTCTCCGGTCTGGTTGGTGCGGCTGGCTGCTTGCCCCAGATCACACACAGCGTTGTCGGTTGTGGCACAGCGTGCGTTACAGCTTTGTGTTAGGAGCAATACCACAGGAGGACGAGCCTCATCACTCCGACGGCGATGGGAAGGAAGGAAAGATGGCGGGGAAGATTGCTCTTCTTTACCAACATCCTTCCTTCCTTCCTTCCGATCTCCCGCCCTCCCGTCCGCCTCTCATTTCCCGCCATTTCACCTCCTCCTCCTCCCTCTGCATCTATAGTTTCGCCTTTTTTCTCTCTCTATTCCCTTTCTCTTGCTTCTACATTTCACGCGAGCTACCCGCTCATTTAGTTGTAGACGTGCGAGCGCGCATCGCTCCTCTCATCTCTCCCTTCCCTTATTTATTTCTTTCTTTCACCCATACACATTCTACATATATACGGATCTATTAATGCACACATACTCACGTACCTACGTATTGACTCGCGTTCATATTTTTATGTACACGTCAATACGTACCCACGTAGTTTTACACATTAAAGTCATTATTCGTGTTTTGTGTTTCACGTACATGGTTCTACAACTACATACATTCGAAATTTCCGTAGAACAAATATAAACGCAAATGCACAATTACTGTACACACGCGCGTGTGTGCAATTACACACACATACATACATACACACACACACACACTACTCTTTTTATAACGGCTGTAAATAAACGTGTGTACATACGCATTGTTTTATATTAACAGGCGTATATACGAAATGCACACGCTTTCTTACATATCCTTTTTAATACAAGGCAAATTAATGAACACACGCATATCACACATATATGTTAAAGAGAATTAGTCTGGTTGGCCGCCTTTTTCTCAGTCTCTCTTTTTTTTTCTCCTTGGTTGGTTGCCTGGTTCGTTCGTTCGTTCGGTGCCCGTTCGTTCTCTTCTTTCCCCCATTAGCTGCTCTCTGGCCCTGACTAACAAGAAAAACGAAAAATAAAAACTAAAAAAAGAACAAGTGTGAAGCGATGGCAGAGAGGAAGGCGGAAAGAAGAAAAAAAAAGCCCAGCAATAAATACACACGCAGATACACCGATAAATAAAAATGGTAAAAATAAAATAAAAACTAAAAAAGATTAAAGGGGGGAAAAAAAGCATGAAATGAACGGAACGGAAAGATAACGGATATCCATCGCGATGGCGGCGACCGCGCCGGTATCGACGTGGCTGTTAGCGCCAATGCCGTCACCGATGCCGCCATCATCGTCGGAGCGTTTATTTCCCGCCGTTCTCTCTTGATGTCATTTCCCTCCCTCTCTTGCTCCTATTTTTTCTCTTTCCTCGTACCTCTCTTCTATCATTTGCTTGTTACTCTCCGTCTTTTTTTTATTTTCAATATATTTTCTTCTCCCCTTTCTTCCTCTTTATCTCATTTTCATTTTCGTTCATCTTGAAATTCTTTTTTCTTTTTCCATCTCTCTTTCTCGCCTTATTCTAACTTTCATTTTTTTTTCTTATTAAAATTGCCTACTACTTCGTCTTTTCCTTGTTTATCTCTTCTCTTTGTATTTTTTTTTTTTTTTTTTTACCTTTCTGTTATTTATTTTTTCTTCCAACCGATCACCTGTTAGTGTTTGTACATTTATTTTACCCCCTCTCCTCATCTTTACCAGTATTTATTATATGCAATAATTGCGACTTACAGGGAAAACGGTCGTTGTTATTATTATTATATTTATTTTTTTATTGAGCAAAAAACTATGAATTTTTTTTTTTTTTAATAGTTGATTGGCCGGGTAGGGTATAGAAAGAAAAAGAAAGAAAGAAAGAAAAGAAGACAATTAATTATAAAAATAAAACTCCTGCTCGTTTCTGGCTGGTGCCTCTTCGGTGTCGTCCGACTTGTAACGGAGGAGAGAGAGAGCAAGAATGTGTGTGTGTTACGACGACGAAACGATCAGTTTCATCTTTCCTTATATATTTTTTATTTTATTTTATTTTTCCCCCGAACGTTTCGCTGCCGCCGTTATCGCGACCGCCGCTCCTCTTACGGCGTTCGGTCGCCGCCGCCGTGCGCTCTCTGCCACGCCCTTCCCCGCCTCCTCTGACCTGCCCTTTTACCCCCTCCAGTTAACACCACCAACACAGTTTTTACCACCAGCCAACCTGAGCAAAAGCTCCTCCGTTTATGGTACAACTACTACTACTACCACTGCTGCGCGATTCTGTTTCCTGGTTTTCAGCACTCAGATTTCTCTCTCGCTTTTACAAAATTCCTTTCTCAGTTTTTCTTTCTGCCTGTCTTCCTTTATTTCATAGCTTTCGTCTTCCTCTCTAGTTGATTCTCTTTCTCTCTCTTTCTCTTTTTGACTATCTCCTTATCTTTCTTTTTAATCAGTTAAAAATGTCGAAAAGAAAGAGAGAAAAAAAAAGAATATTTATTCGTCTTCGGTTTCTTCAAATAAAGAGGGTTTTTTTTCTGTCCAACTTTAAAAAGTACCACTAATGCTTTTGGTATTTAAAATACTTACTACTACGTGTCCCATATATATATATATATATATATATATATATATATATATATATATATATTTTTATTGATGTGTCAGAATGTCTTTTATTGTTTCTTTTCGTTGTGTGTGTGATTCATTTGATGTTGGTCTTTTTCACTTCGCTTTTTCTTCAAGGATTGATTCAAAATTCTTCTACCTAAAATTATGCGAATAATGGGCACCTACCCTTGGGATAATCTTTTTTTTTTCAGCAAAGTCGTCTGGTTGACCATTACTACTTTCGATTCGTACTGGGTGCGCCATTTGCCCTTGTACCAGACTAAACAAAATTTGAATTTTCTATATTTATTATTTATGAAAAAGTATTTAAGTTTTTCATTCGGTAATATTTTTAAAATCTTATTTTCTTACAATTGATTTTTTTTTTTGGTATGACTGAAAGCTAAAAGTATAGGGCACCCAGTGAGGATCAAACTCATTACTCAGTCAAGTATTGTATAATAGTCAATTAGACTAGCTTGATAACTATTATTAACCTACAGGGAGGTGCCCAACCAATGTTTAATATATAATGTTTATTGTCTCCTTTTTTCTATTTTTTAATTAAAGAAAAAAATTGTTTCACAATATCTTACCTGGTGAAGACTTGTCTCTTTCTGTGTCATTATTTTTTTCTTTTCATCTCTACAATTAATTATACCCTAAACCTGGAAATTGTTTTTTCCTCCTCCCACCCTTTTTTTGTTGTTGTTCTGTCTCTGTCTTCAATCACTCTCTCACTTTATCTATTTTTCATTTGTCTGTCGTTCCTTATTCTTTTTAACTTCAGCTCACTCTGTTTAATTACCTACCTATATCTACCTATCCTCTGGCATTTTCACACCAGAGGCATGATACTTGACCCTACACCCCACGCCCATCATCAACAGCAGTTCCCATCAAAGAGCATTTCCAAACTTCCAATGTCTGTTTCCATGGTAATAAGCAGGTTCTTCACTATTCCACCTTTTTTTTTTCTTTATTCTCTTCCTTTTTTTTTTTTTTTTTTCAGTGTAAATCTTATTTTATTTACCATTAGCAAGCGAGTGTTTTGCCCATTATCGCAGGTTGGCCTAAATGAAAAAGTGTCAAAAAAAATGATGATAATGATAAAAAAAAAACTTCCTTCCGTTTTAACTTGCATATTTGTCTGTCAATATATGAAAAAAAAAAAAATTAAATATTTCCCCACGAAAAAAAAAAAGGAAGTAAAACATATATACGTCACTACACAACCTGGCAAAAGACGTATGATTCCTTGTGCTAGAAACACTCAAACATATACCACTGTGTGTGTACAGTTTCCTTATGAATTCCCAATAGCAAAAAATTTATTGGCATGCATAAAAATAAAATGTCGATCATTGGTAACACACGTTTTACTTTTATACATACATTTAAAAAAAAAAAAATACAATCTCAGGAGATTGTGGTATTTTATCTGAAAATTGGAAAAATAGAATAAAATATTAAGCAGACAGATCTTGTTGGTTCTTTTTGATCAAACTTGTGTGTGTGTGTATATATATATATATATATATATATAAAGGCAATAAAGCCACTAAGATGCAAGGTGTGGTCATTGAGTGTTAGAGAATATGAGAAAAAAGCATTAAAGAAAGAGAACAATAAAAGAACAAGAATTAAGAAGGTAGAAGCTAATGATTGACGTAAGATTTAAATTTTTGAAGATCAAAGTTGACTGAAAAGGAAGAAGCCAGAATAGAGTTCCACAAGTGAGAAGTGCAAGAGAAGAAACTGTTAGCATGTAACTTACAGTTACAGCAAACAGTTTCAATTGTAAAATGATGGCACCTTGCTACCAATCTGGTACTGCATTTAAATTTGGAAACATATATATATATATATATATCTTTAATAAATGTGCATTTTGGCAGTAATCCTTTTATACAAGTTTCATTAAAGGCACTGCAATTAAGTTTTTTTATTATATATTTCTTGCATGGGTGCAAAAAATTTCTTTTTTCAGTATAGTGTGTAAGAACAAGGACTTTTGACTGATCCATTAGCCATTGTCAAGGATGTTTTTATTTTTCTATTTTTTTTTTTCTTTTTAAAGCAATAGAAATGTTTTTTTATTTCCTAACATGGCACATTGTGCAGTGTTTATAATTTTTAAGAGTTAGTTTCTTATTTTTAATTCTGAAAACTTCCATTATTTTTAAGCATTTTCTGCAGGTAGATGTGTATTATTATGTTGGGTTTTTTCTACAGGCATGTTGTGGACAGAGGTGGATAGATCACTTGGACAGTTTTGACACATTCTTTGTCCCAAAAAGAAGTCTCTTCTAAATACGCAAGAAAAATTTAATAAAACTCACAGTGACTTGTCAGCCATCTTCAATGAAACACACACACACACACACACACACACACACACACACACACACACACACACATATCTATATAGAGCATATGTAAATATAAAAGTGAACATTGAAGTCAACACCCAGTAGCAACAACCTGTTCTGCTTCATGCTTAAGCGCATGACCTATCAATTGCATTTAAGCATGAAACAGACTGTTGCCGCTGGGTGTTAACTTCAATGCCCACTTTTCTATTTACATACACTCTAACCCTTATATTGAGCACTTTCATCCATAAATATAACATATCTTAAAACTATATTTATATCATTCACACACACATATGAAGTGGGCATTAAGGTCAACACCCCGCATTAACCCATAAATGTAGCATAC